GGAGAAAGGTTGGGCTTTAGTATTAGAAGGGATTATGTAAACAAGAGCAAGGAAGGGCAAATCACTTCAAGGCAATTTGTTTGTAATAAGGAGGGGTTTCGGGTTGTCGACTAGAGAGATCTGTTAACAAAAAATCTTAGGAAGATATCTGCATCACAAGCAACCGGAATAGATTTAGCCGAAAAATCTGAAATCTATCTTAATGTTGCATTTGAGCTCATAGGTAATGAAGCTGGTGGAAGGGAGTCGCTTGCCTTCACAAAACCGGACCAAAAAAATTACATGAGAACGAAGAGACAAAAGAGTTTAGAATATGGGGAGGCAGGTAGCATTTTGCAATATTTTCAAGAGAAAACATTGGAGAATCCATCTTTTTTTACTCTGTCCAATTAGATAACGAGGAGCAGATTACACACATAACTTGGGCCGATGCTCAAATGATCAAGGATTATGGGCAATTTGGTGATGTTGTGACTTTCGACACTACTTACAAGTTAAATAGTGCACATAGACCATCTGTGTCTTTCGTTGGATTTAACCATCATAGGGAAACTATTATATTTGGCGCAACTTTGATGTATGATGAGACTGCCGATTATTTTATATGGCTTTTTAGAAGATTCTTGGAGGCGATGTTAAGTAAGGCTCCGAAAACAATTTTTACAATCAAGATGCTACAATGACTAAGGCCATAACTATTGTCATGCCTAACACAAACAACTGCCTTTGCACTTGGCACTTGATGCAAAATGCATTAAGGCATTTAAATTATATATTCAAGGATAAAGGGATGAAGAGTGTTTTATACAAATTTATGTACGACATTGAGGATGAGGAAGAGTTTATGTTAAAATGGGAGGAAATCCTTGACAAGTATGAAGTGTGAGATAATCATTGGTTGAAGTTAACATTTGGGGTCAAGGAAAAATGGGGTTGGCCATATGTTAGAAATGCATGGGGTGTAGGCATGAGTAGCACCCAACTTAGTGAATCTTTTAATGCTTTCTTGAAGGATTTCATTCAGTTTGATCATAACTTAATGCAATTTTTCATGCATTTTGATCAAGTTCTTTGTGAGAAGAGGTACAAAGAGTTACAAGCTGAATATGCTCTATGCCAAAAGTTGGCAAGGGTGAATATAAAAGTGAAGATGATGGAGCAAGCTGCAGATGTTTACACCAATAAAATTTATGCAGAATTTCACGATGAGTATGTCAAGTCCCTTGAAGGAAACAATGAAGAAACTGAACATGATGGTGAGAGTACCGTGTATACGGTTCTTGATAGTGATGGTGTAAAGGTGAGGAAGGTGAGAGTGGAGTGTGATGGTTCATTGACTTGCAATTGTAGGAAGTTTGAAATGCAAGGCATTTTGTGTAGTCATTGTTTGAAGATCCTTAGAGACACCCTCAAATTCAAAGAGATTCCTTCACAATATATTCTCAAGAGATGGACTACAAAAGCAAGAGCTGAAAATGTGAAAGATAGGTGTGGGCATGATATTAAGGTTGATGTAAGATTGCATCAAACTTTACGCTATAGATCATTGATGGCAATATTCAAAGCAGTAGCGTGTAGAGCTTCCGAAAGTAAGGAAACATATAACTTGACGGTAGAGAAAGTGGATGAATTAATTGCAATCATTGAAAGCATGTTAACCACAAAATTCAATATGCCTTTTTCAAATACTATTGAACAAGAAATCCCTCCCAACACATGCCTCGAAAGCTTTGACGTGGATGGTGTAACAGATACAAATGTAGTTCAAGCAAAAGGACTTAAGAGAAGAGAGTGCACTAGCAAGGGAAGATGGCGGACAAAAGGTGGTTTGGAGCTTGCTTTGGCAAAGAAAAATAAAACAAGTTCACATAATGCTTCTCAAACTCCTATGTCTGTTGCTCCTCAATGTCCTCCCTTATTTTCGGCGAGTGATCATGAACCACCTCCCTTGTTTTCGCAGAGTATTCCTCAATCGGCTCCTTTATTTTCAATAAGTGCTCCTCAGCTTCCTCTATTCTCGACGAGTGTTGCTCAAGTTAATGCTTCTTTGTCTCAATTTATGTATCCCACCTATGATGTAAGTTAGTTTAATAAGAAGTTTTATTATGTTGATTTGTAGGTCAATATTGCCATTTTAAATTGATATGTGTTTGTTATTGTTGCAGCCAAGTAATATGCCTTTTTCAATGCCATCAATGTATTCCGTGCATGGAAGCTATCAAGCATTGCTTAACAATGCAAGTGGTTATGACTAGCAAGCCTCAAATAGTCCTGCATGTAGTCAAGTAATTTATTTTTTACCTTTCCTCTTTTATTTTGTCATTCATTCATTTCAAGTTCCAATTTATTTTATGGTTCCTTTGATATAAGAGTATTTTCTTTTTTTGAGGTACTTCATAGGCATGGGCGTGGGCATGACTGTGGTCGTGGGCATGATCATGTGGATCACACGCCAATATCTTAGAGTTGATTTTTTTTTTCTTGGATACGGTATTCGTCTATGTAATATTGAAAACCTTTCATGTGGATGTAGAAAATATTGTTGTGTTCTTTGATCATTGGGGTATTTTGAGTTGAAAACCTTTCAGTTGAAATGTTGCTGAAAATTTGATGAAATTTTGCTGAAATTTTTGTTCAAATGTTGCTGAAATGTTGTTGAAATAATGCTGAAATGTTGCTGGAATTTTGCAGTATTTTTGCTTAAATTTTTGTTGAAATTTTGCAAAAATATTGCTGAGCTGTTGCTGGAATTTTTGTTGAAATGTTGCTGAATTGTTGTTGGAATTTTTGTTCAAATGTTGCTGAACATGATGCTGAAATTTTGCACAAATGCTGCTAAAATGTTGTAATTCAGAGCAGCAGTTTGTCTTACCTCCTTTAGATCCTTTAGTCTGATGTGCATTTTGCAAAAATGCCAACCCCAAAAACAGTCCACATTAGAACATTGTGCATTGTACATTTGAAATGATACATAGGACAAGAAGAACAATGGATCATTGATCCAGCAACAGTTTGCTCACAATCAACATTTCATGGGTTGTTAGAGAAACAAAAGAAAGAAGCAGTTTGCTCCAGCATTTCAACCTATTTGCATTTCAACCTATTGCAACATTCTAACTTGTTTGCTCCAACATTAGAACATTGTGCATTTCAACTTCACAATCAATTTAAAATATACAAAAGAAAGAAGAAGTCCACAACCAACTTCATTTACAAAAGAGAAGTTCACAATCAACATTAGAACATTGTGCATTTCAAGGCCACAACCAACTTAATTTACACTTAATATTTATTTCACAAAAGGAGAAGTCCAAATTCAAACTTAATTTACACATAATATTTAAACAACAAAAGAAAAAGGGCTTTATCCATAAAACCACCAAATACACAGTGATGAACAGGGCCATGGCCGATTAGAACTTGTCCATAGCGCCGAATAGGCCACAGATCATGTGGAAATGCCTGGGGTCTAGCTGTGAGGGCAGGGTGTCCATAATAGAAAGTGGGCCCCTGGAGAGCAATATAAAAAAGAGGACCAGTAGCCAAAGGAGGGGGATGTAAGAAAAAAAGGAGATAACTTGTGACAAGAAACACCTAAGAGAATATTAAATGATTAGTAGGCGAGGTAATTCTGGCACCTTCGACCAAAGTGCATACCCCATTTCAAGTACCAGTTTGAGGATTAAGAGAGTCTACTATGACCAAAGGGTATTTCAAAACCCCTTTACCACAATTGGCGCTGTCTGTAGGAATACTCAAACGCGTTCATGGTAGACATAACGGATGATCCTTCACTTGTTCCAGATGATGACACACCAATAGATGATGTTACACCAAGAACCATGCCTCCGCGAAGGGCCCTGAACTTTGACCTAGTGGCTCAAACTTTGCCTTTAACCTCTATGCAGGAAACTATGCAGATGATCATGGATCAAGCAAAGCAAAACGAACAACGTCTGGAAGACATAGCGGTTGATAACGAACTTTTGCATAAGGAATTGGCCCTTGAATTAGCCAAATCCCAACCAGCCGTGCTACATCGTGATCGGGGTTGGTCGCCACAGAAAAAGAATGATGATCGACGACGTCGGCATCGGAAACATATTAGTGGCAGTGCTTCTGACTTGTCGTCTCAAGAACCCAGGAAGAAGGGGTGAGTTGATATGTCCAGCTCATCCGAGGGAAGTTCGTATGTACGGCACAGGCAAGGAAAAGGAGATGATGGTTCAGATGAAGAAGATAAACATGATCCATTCGTATATCGCATTGCAAAGGTTGTATTGCCTGAAAATTTAAGCACCAACGTTCACCTTGTATGACGGTAAGTCAGACCCTACGGATCACATTCCTTATTACAAACAAGCGATGATGTTGCATGCTGATGATGAAGCCCTCATCTATTGAATGTTTCCAAGCGGTCTAGGACCATTGGGCATTAGGTTGTATTATAAACTGGAGCCGGCGTCAATAAAAAGCTTTCATCAACTCCAAAAATCTTTCAGGGCAATATTTATCACCAACGAGGTTCAGCCAAAGCAAGCTGACTTTCTCTGGGCGGTGCATATTAAACTGGAAGAGACCCTCCGAGAGTATTCGGCGCGCTACTAGGAGTGTTTCAACTTGGTGGACGATGCCTGCAATGACTCCATGGCCATTACCACCTTTAAAATGGGGTTACAACCCAATTGTCCTCTTTGAAGTTCATTGACCAGACGGCCTCCCAAAATAGTCTGGGCGCTAATGAAGAAAATTAAGGAGTATTGCAAGGTGGAAGACGATGCCCATCGCGTCAAGGCCAGATAGAAAGTTGTGAAGTCGGCTCTATCTGGTCCGGTTCGGTTCAGCCCATAAGCATCGTATCGCCAAGGAGCCCTAAACATCGTAGGGCTAAACGAGATAGCCGGCGTGATTCGCACCGATCAAGCGAGCATTGTTCGCATTGTTTGAATGAATAGTATCAAGTGGATAGCAGGCATACCAGACGTTTGGATAAGAAGTATATGGAGTTGGCAGAGCCAATTAGTAAGATCTTACCCAAAGTCCAACATCTTCCGTTCTTTAAGTGGCCGTCCAAGATGATTGGACGCCTTGATACTAGAAGAAGGGATAGGCGATGTGAATATCACAAGGACCATGGCCACAACACTGATAGCTATTATACACTAAACGACCACCTGGAGAAGTTAGTGCAAGATAGCCGGTTGACCCAACATATCCGAAAGAACAATCCACCAAACACGGTAGCTCTATGGCCAGATTCACCTCCACTTGGTGTGATTCACATGATATACATTATGTTGCCGCCAACTCAGGTACATACAATCCAGCTACAACCCAGCCCATCCCAGCCGTTTACACCAGCCAAACGGCCTCATGAAACTGGAAAAATCAGCTTCGACGACACCGATCTTGAAGGGGTAACACTCCCCCAGGACGATGCTCTTGTTGTGGAGTTGCGCATACACAGATTCGTCGTCGAACGCGTTCTAATCGATCAAGGGAGCACCTTGGAGATAATTTATTACAAAACATTTCTTAAACTCAGCTTCACCGATTCGGACTTGTTTGCTTATTATCCGTTGTTCGGCTTTAATGCCAACCCCGAGTATCCTTTGGGCAAGATCACATTACTGGTCTGTGCAAGCACCATGTCAGTTGATGTGGAGTTTCTAGTCGTCAAACTTTCATCACCATACAATCTCATCATGGAGAGATCCTGGTTGCACGCAATGCAGGCTGTACCAAGTACCTACCATCAATTACTCCATTTTCCAATGTAACATGGCATCGAACAAATTCGGGGTTCTCAAAAGTCAGCAAGGGCATGTTACATTTTCGCTTCGGAAAAGAAGCCAAAGGAACTGGAAGTAAACTCGATTGAAGTCCCGGTTCGAGAAGTCCTCGAGGACATTGGAAAAGCCCTTAGTGATAAGGTAACTGAAGACCTCGATCGGGTCAGAATCGAAGGGGAACCCGACAAGTTCTTCATGATTGGCACCTCCTTGAACACAGCCGAAAGACAAGAGCTGGTTTCCTTCTTACTGAACAACATTGACGTATTTGCCAGGACACTATATGAGATGTTGGGGGTGGATTCGAGTGTAGCCCAACACTGCTTAAATGTTGACCCATAGGTTAAACCAATTATTCAGAAAAGTCGACGGTCGACTGTGGAGCATACTTTAGCCATTGTTAACGAAATTGACCGATTGCTGGAAGCTGTGGCAATTCACAAAGTAACTTATCCAACGTGGTTGTCCAATACCATGGTTATCAAGAAGAAAAATGGATCTTGGCGCGTTTTTGTAGATTTCACGAACTTGAATAGGACATACCGTAAGGATTGTTTTCCCTTTCCCTGAATTGACCAACTTGTGGGCGCAATTACGCACCACCAATGCCTAAGTTTCTTGGATGCTTACTGGGGTTACCATCAAATTGCAATGCATCAAGAGGACTAGGAAAAGACTGCATTCCTCACCCCACGAGGAACCTATTGCTACAAGGTCATGCCGTTCGGAATAAAGATTGCAGGGACAACCTACCAGAGGCTGGTCACCACTATGTTTAAAGAGCAACTCGACCATACCATGGAAGTATACATTGACGATATGGTGGTGAAATCCAAAGAAAAGCAGGCCCATCTAGCTAACTTAGCCATGACCTTCAACATTCTCCAAAAGTACAAAATGAAACTAAATGCCTCGAAATGTGCATTCGGCATCGGATCTGGCAACTTTCTCGGCTACATTGTGAACCATCGTGGAATAGAGGCCAACCCGAGGTAGATCACGACAATTATTGAACTTGGCTCTCCTAATTCGGCCAAAGAAGTTCAGAAGTTGATGGGAATGGTTTCCATTTTCAATAGGTTTATCAGCCGCTCCTCGGACCGCTGCCGACCATTTTTTCACACACTTCGGTAGGGCAAAGCATTTCAGTGGACCCCCTAGTGCTAGGCTGCACTGGACGGCTTGAAAACCTATTTCTGTTCAATATCACTTTTGGCAATTCTGTCGCCAGACGATCCGCTTGTCTTTTGTCTAGCGGTATCCGATCAAGCGGTAAGTGCTGTGTTATTGAAGGAGGAACTCGGGGAGTAGAGACCAATCTACTATGTAAGCAAGGCGATGGTCAACGCCGAGACACGATACCTGCCCTTGAAAAAGCTCATCCTGGCTCTTGTGGTGGCTGCCAGAAAGCTAATGCACTATTTTCAGGCTCATACCATAGGGGTACTAACGGATTATCCTCTCCGAGCAGCGCTCCATAGCGCGAAAGGATTAGGGCGAGTCTCTAAATGGGCTTTGGAACTCGGTCAATATGACATCTAGTTTTTGCGTAGAACGGCCATTAAGGGGTAGGTGCTGGCCGACTTTGTAGCCAAGTTTACAGGGTTCCATGCCGACTTCAAGACTGATCAACTCTCCCCTCAACCTTAACCAGACTGGAGAATGTATGTTGGAGACATTTGGCAAATGTATTGTGACAGATCATCCAACTAATGTGTCAACGGGGCAGGCGTAGTAATAATGACCCCCGAAGTGGCAATAATCGAGCAGGTAATCAAATTGGGTTTCGATGCATCAAATAACGAGGCCGAATACGAAGCATTGCTAACCGGCCTTCATAACGCACTACACCTTGGTGCCCAGCGGTTGCAGGTTTTTTGTGACTTAAAATGAGTCATCAACCAATTAAAAGGGAAATATACGGCTATGAACGACCGAATTACAGCCTACATGAGAATGGTGAATTCCTTGCTCACGAAGTTCGACCACCACGAGCTGAATCAGATAACCCGAGATTAGAGCACGCATGCAGATGCCCTTGCTTGCCTAGCTTTTGCCATTAACTCATAAATCAAATGAACCATCGAAGTAGGATTTGTCCTAAAACCGAGTATCACTTCCTTTGAACTAGCTCAGATTAACATCATTGAGTCAGGATCAAGTTGGATGGACCCTATCGCCCCATTTCTCTCCTTAGAATAGCTTCCAATAGACAAAAAAGAAGCCCACAAGTTCAGGAAAAAAGCCCTGCGATATTACCTGGATCCCTAGGGAAAGCTTTACAAAAAATCTCTCTTAGGGCCATATTTGGAATGTGTTCACCTAGACAAAGTTAAGGACTTCTTGACCGAAATACATGAAGGTAGTTGCGGCGCCTACTCTGGAGGGCGATTATTGGCCCACCGAACCGTAACGCAGGGATATTATTGGATGACCATGTGTACTGATGCCGAGAACTACGTAAAGAAGTGCGAACAATGCCAAAAGTTCTCCCCATTAATCTATATGCCTGCTGAAGAATTAAATTCTGTTACTAGTACTTAACTGTTCGCTCAATGTGGCCTTGACATCGTCAGACCATTACTACGAGCACCAGGAAACAAACGATTCTTGATCGTTGCAACTGACTATTTCACGAAGTGGGTCGAAGCAGAATCACTAGCACATATCTGAGATATTGATGTTAAACGCTTTGTGTGGAATAATATTATAACTCAATTCGGCATATCAAGAGCACTTGTATCTGACAATGGCACCCTATTCGATTGTGGAGTCTATTGGGAGTTATGTAATACATATGGTATCCGGCCCTACTTTTCCTCATCGGCTTACCCACAAAGTAATGGTTAGGCAGAGGCCTCTAATAAAGTGATCCTGGACAGAATCAAGAAACGACTGGAGAAGGCCAAGGGCGTGTGGGATAAAGAATTGCCCAGTGTATTATGGGCTCACCGTACCACTCCGAGACGGTCCACTAGAGAAACACCGTTTGCCTTGTGCTTTGGGACAGAGGCTATTATCCATTTTTCAAATCGGCCAGCCCACTCTATAATCAAAGGCTTTTAACACAGGGTATAATGACATGATGTTAGCCTTAGATCCAAAGTTGATTGAGGAATGCCAAGATCGATTTCTTGCGCGCATGGCGTGATATCAGCAGCTGCTCGCCAGGTTGTATAACCAGTACGTGCAGATGCACCATTATGCTCCTGGAGAATTGGCACTCAAGAAAGTGCTTCTTGCTACTAAAAACCCGGCAGACGAAAAACTTGGTTTCAATTGGGATGGCCCCTATCAGATTGATTTGATTGCGGTACGGGAGCATATCGTCTTTCCGACATGACTGGCAGACGTTTACCACGACCCTGGAGTTTGACCCACTTGCGTAAATTTTATCATTAAACCAACTTGTTCGATATGCTAGTCTGCTTTTGTTTTTGCTGCTGGCCACGCATGTAAACATCTATGTAGTTACTTGGCAATACGATGTGCCTTTCTCGTTGACTTCTTGTTTTAATTTTCCATTTGGTATAAGACTCTTAATTCGGAGTGCCTTTCGTGCTTGATCACATTTGGCCATTATAAAGACTCCGAATTTGGAGCGCCCTTCGTGCTTTGCACGATTGGCCGAATAAGCCTCCGAATTCGGAGCCTCTTTCGTGCTTGATCACGATTGGCCATTACAGAGACTCTGAATTTGGAGTGCCCTTTGTGCTTTGCATGATTAGCCGAATAAGCCTCTAAATTTGGAGCTCCTTTCGTGCTTGATCACGATTGGTCATTACAAAGACTCTGAATTCAGAGCACCCTTCGTGCTTTGCACGATTGGTCAAATAAGCCTCTGAATTCAGAGCGCCTTTCGTGCTTGATCACGTTTGGCCATTACAAAGACCCCGAGTTCGGAGCGCCTTTCGTGCTTTGCACGATTGGCCGAATAAGCCTCCGAATTTGGAACACCTTTTGTGCTTGATCATGTTTGGCCATTACAAAGACTCCGAATTTGAAGCCCCCTTCGCGCTTTGAACGATTGGCCGAATGAGCCTCTAAATTTGGAGCGCCTTTCATGCTTTATCTAGTTTGGCCATTACAAAGACTCTGAATCCGGAGTGCCCTTCATGCAATGCTTGATTGGTTGAAAAATCCGAGAATTCAGAATTGCCAAAATCGGCAAAATTTAGCAATCAAATTACAATACCAAATAGACAAACACAGTTTATGTTTATGTCGAGCAATACATGGTACATGGTTTCTCGCTACAAATACAAATACATGGATCCTGCTATAAAAAAAAGTACAATACAAGTTTCTTGTTAATTAGGCCTTCATCTTTATTGTCAGTCTTTTCGGCGTCATAAGCTTCGAAGGGAAACTTGTAACTTTGATACAATAGCGACACCGAGTCTATACCAATGGCTTGCAAAGCCTCAGTCCACCCATGCTTAAAGCACGGTTCTCACATCAGCAAACATCATCCGCCAACTTTTCTTTGGTCTTCTCAATGTCGATTTTTCGACCATCAAAAAAGCCTTCTTCATACGCTTGTGTTCTTATCGCTTCTTTGGCAAACATGATTGCCATATCCTGATCAGCTATGGCATGGTCAAGTAGGTGCTAGTTTACTCTGTCTAATACGACTAGGTTCGTTGGATCTGCTGATTGGGTCTTGGCAGCTCTGGCTTTTCTCAGTGCACTCTCAGCCTTTTTCACGCGGTGCTCTAAGTCTCGAATATGCCCGTCTTTCTGTTCAATTTCCTTTTTCGCTGCTCGAAGGCGCATGCCAATCTCATATGAGCTATAGAGTCCCTGTACTGCTCCATGAATGCCCTCTTTGAAAATTTCATAGTCAACCCGTCTGACCATTGATTGTTGAACTTCGGGTGGAAACATTTGCCGAGTAAACTCGATTGCCATGTTTGAATCACGAATAATTGAGTCTGCTTTGGTCATTGGTTTGTTCCCAATAAACATAGAAAAACTTAATGGCCGCA